CAAAATGGCTGCTTGTGTCACGGCTGCCTATAGCAGAGCCACATGTCATCTGCTCGCATGGGGGAGACATTACCATCTCTGACCTTCCAATGCCATCGGGTCATTCCTCTGCTGCACGGAATAAAGCACCTTTGTGGATGAAAAGGTATTTGGTGAGTTCGGCTCTCTGGTGAGGATTGTCCGCGGTGATGATACCGGCCCGGCACAGAGGTCTCAGCAAGGGAGATACATCACCGATACAACCATCGCAGTCAGATTATCAGGTGTTGCAGAATATAATGGAGGTGTAATTGTGGCCCCAGGGGATGCGCGGCCCTCCAGCCTTCACTTTAGGGGATTATTGTGGTTTGTGGTGGAAATCAATTAGCTGTCTGTGATTGGCTGCGGCGGTGTGCCGGCTGGCGGAAGGTGAGTTGGCACCAGAAGATAACAATCTGCAGGAATTGTAAACTGAGACGGCGGAGGAGGAAATCCTGCCGGGGTGACTTCCTGTGGTGTCTGTACAGGGCGGGGCCCCGACTTCTGCTGTATACTCCGGTATATGTCAGGGAAGAGTATACAGGGCCCGGGATCTGTGGTTCTAGAAGAAGAATGGAGGATCAGAGGGATGGAGGGATCAGAGGGATCGGAGGGATGGAGGGATCGGAGGGATCGGAGGGATGGAGGGATCAGAGGGATCGGAGGGATGGAGGGATCGGAGGGATCAGAGGGATGGAGGGATCGGAGGGATGGAGGGATCAGAGGGATCGGAGGGATCAGAGGGATTGGAAGGATCAGAGGGATCGGAGGGATGGAGGGATCGGAGGGATCGGAGGGATCGGAGGGATCGGAGGGATGAAGGGATGGAGGGATTGGATGGATCGGAGGGATCGGAGGGATTGGATGGATCAGAGGGATTGGAGGGATTAGAGGGATTGGAGGGATCAGAGGGATTGGAGAGATTGGAGGGATTGGATGGATCGGAGGGATCGGAGGGATGGAGGGATCGGAGGGATTGGAAGGATCGGAGGGATGGAGGGATCGGAGGGATCAGAGGGATCGGAGGGATGGATGGATTGGAGAGATTGGAGGGATTAGAGGGATTGGAGGGATTGGAGGGATCAGAGGGATGAAGGGATGGAGGGATCGGAGGGATTGGATGGACCAGAGGGATCGGAGGGATGGAGGGATGGAGGGATTGGATGGATCGGAGGGATCGGAGGGATGGATGGATTAGAGGGTTTGGAGGGATTGGATGGATCGGAGGGATCGGAGGGATTGGATGGATCGGAGGGATCGGGGGGATCGGGGGGGTGGGGGGGAAAAAAAAGGAGGGATCGGAGGGATGGAGGGATGGACGGATGGAGGGATTGGATGGATCGGAGGGATTGGATGGATCGGAGGGATCGGAGGAATTGGATGGATCGGAGGGATCGGAGGAATTGGATGGATCGGAGGGATCGGAGGAATTGGATGGATCGGAGGGATCGGAGGAATTGGATGGATCGGAGGGATCGGAGGAATTGGATGGATCGGAGGGATCGGAGGAATTGGATGGATCGGAGGGATCGGAGGAATTGGATGGATCGGAGGGATCGGAGGAATTGGATGGATCGGAGGGATCGGAGGAATTGGATGGATCGGAGGGATCGGAGGAATTGGATGGATCGGAGGGATCGGAGGAATTGGATGGATCGGAGGGATCGGAGGAATTGGATGGATCGGAGGGATCGGAGGAATTGGATGGATCGGAGGGATCGGAGGAATTGGATGGATCGGAGGGATCGGAGGAATTGGATGGATCGGAGGGATCGGAGGGATCGGAGGGATTGGAGGGAATGGGTGGATCGGAGGGATTGGAGGTATCGGAGGGATGGCAGAGCAATCCTATGATAAGCCTTCCATGATGTGATTGTATTATGATTGTACCATTGCGGGGGAGGGGTGAGGCGGGATGGGGAGGGAAGGGTTAATAGGATGTATGTATTCCCCTATGGATGTAATCTTCTACAGACTCCGCGGCGTGACCTTTCCTCCCCGGAGACCGTCTCCTATTCAGGTCTCAGGCGGGACACTCGGCTCTTTGTTGTCACGCTAAACACTTAAAGTGTTAATCCTCCTCGACCTCTGAGAACGGGACATGTGAGGAGGGAGCCCGAGTACTCCGAGAGCTGGGAATACCGCCGGCAACGGGATCATCGCCATCCCATAGACAAGAGGAGTCCGCCGCCGCCGCTCACATTCCCAATACAATTCATCGATATTCTGTATTCTCCGCGGAGCTCCCCGATCCCTATAATGGGGATCATTCCGTCTCCGGGAATGACTCTCGTGTCACTTTCATTGTTCAAATACAGAAATGTCCAATTTACATCCGTGATTCATCTCCAACACGCCAGCGTCACGTATGACGATTATTAGAAATACATTTTATAATATTATCTCGATAGAAGATATTTCTCCCTCGTTGTCAGGTTGCCGTCTCTCCGCCTCCCCTGATATCTCTCCGCCTCCCCCCGATATCTCTCCGCCTCCCCCCGATATCTCTCCGCCTCCCCCGATATCTCTCAATGTGTTATAATATAATAATAATACTATAATATATTACAATCTGTAATCTAGTTTTTTGTAATTTTGCACTCAGATATATAATATGTGGATATATAACAGACGGGTCAGTTGGAGGATTATTTGTTGGTGAGTATTTAGAGCTGATAATAAAAATGTGAGGAAACTGCTCAGAACGTCGCCGTCCACAGACACGCCGAGGGAGAGATCCGACAGCGAGCCGTGAACCATTATCGTACCTATAATGATCATACT